AGGCAATTAGTGCTTCAATAATGTGGCTTTGGAATTCAGTATTCATTCATGTTAATGCTATATTTGCTGTATTTATTAAGGGATGCTCGGATACTAAAATGGCTGATAACCCATGAATAGCTCACATTACAATTCTTTTTTGTGTAAATAAAAAATAATAATAAAACGCAAAAAAAAATAAAATCAATCATTTTAATTGATGCAACTGATTTATAGCATCACAACATTATAATGTACAGTATGAAAAATGGATATATGTTTAAATATTTAATACAGATTACATTTAACAGTGTTAATAAAAAATTTGTGTTTTAAAGTTGTCCATTTAAGTGCAAAATAGGGGAAATGAGCATGAACAATTAAATAAATATCGACTGATAGTGATGCATAAAAAAAAATAATACTGATCAATAACCGCCATTATATTGTGAATCCCTAGTTTACATGAGATTTATTGGTAGTGTCAGAGTTAGATGGAAAAAAAGGTGATCTAAATGTAAAAATGAGCATGCGCATTGCACAGTTAAATATCAAATATCGACTGTAACAATATTGGCCAGTAACCAATATGGTATCATTATTTTGTGTATACCCTTAATGTTTTTTTTGTAGGAATGCATTCATTTTATTAGTAGTATATGAATGTGAGTGTTAAATGAAGGAAATACCTAATGTAAATCTAAAAATATTTCAATAGCCAATATTGACTGATATCTGATACTGATATCAGTCAAATTGGCCAATAACTGATATGGTGCTATTATATTGTTTTGTATGAATGCGTCATTGGTAGTAATATTTGTGAGTGTAATTATTGGTAATAATAAATGTGAGTGTTAGATGAAAGAAAAAGGTAATCTAAGTGTAAAAACAGCATGCAAAAAAGGTAAATTGTGCATTATCCCCTTGTAACTTTTCCTCCTATTTCTAGCCAAGGAACTCTGCATTGTTTCTGCATTACAAAGACAAAAGTGCAAAACAGATGAGCTGGCCTGAGCACAGAGCTGCACCTGTCACCTTCCCCAAGCCACACGCTCAGCCCACACAGCAAAGACCACAGGACACAAAGACTGCTTTCACCTGAGACACACTGTGGCTTCTATTAATAGCACAGTTCGGCAGTGGTGCTGCTGACACACACTTCTCGAAGTAGCGGTGGTGGTTACCTTCACTGACAGCAGTTACTATAATGTGGCTTGTATTACTCATTTGCTGAGAGAGTGTGAACCAAGGTCATGAAGCTAAAACACTGACAAATAGCTCTCGTATTAGGCTATTTATCTCCACTCTTTTTGGTCAGAGGAACAGTCTGAAATCAACCCGTGAGCTCTAAATGTACTAGGGGAAGATACGAAACAAAGGGCAAGAACATGTCACACCGGGGAGCGAGCAGAAAAGTTTACACACGCCATCAACTCGAACATGCTGCGCTCCGCCGGATCCACAGGGATTGAAAACAACCGTGTGTCATCATCATTTGAAAGCCGAAAATAGGAGCGGGGGCATTGAAACCGAAGTCTCACCCGAAAACTACAAAAGAGTCGGCCGAGCCGTTTTGGCATGCGTCATCACATTGTTTTCCCCTGACTTGTATTTTCATGTCATTGTTTTGTATCCTCAGGCCAAACACCCTCCTCCAGATGGTGACTGTTCTAGTCTCCTCTTGATGGAAAGTCAGATGTTTACCAGAGCCCAGTGAGGGGCAGAAGAGCTGACGAGGGCAGTCGGGTAACAAAAGGTCTCCACCTGTGAGTCTAGTTTAATTGGGATGACACAGACCTGTGTTAGGGATGGATATACACCCATGTGTTGCCAAATTTGTCCGATATCCCTTTTAAAATGGAAAGAGAACTTGCCAATAGCATACAACACTTTCTACACTTATCTTGAGTAAAGTTTTTCACCAAGCAAAAATCTTGCCATGAGTTGCTTGCATCTGTTTCTGTAGGCATTTCTATTCATGCTCAGCATACAATTGTTGAGATCTTAAAGTGACAGTTCAGACAAAAATCATTTACTCATCCTCATGTTGTTCCAAACTTGTATGTTTTTTTTCTTCTGAAACACACAATTGTTTTTTTAATGTCTCTCTGTTTTTGGTCCAAACTCGTGTATTAAATAAATTCAGTGCACACAGACTTAAATAGTTTAAGTCTTTGGTTCTTTTAATTGTGATGATTTTGGCTCACATTTAACAAAAACCACGAATTCACTATTTCAACAAATTAGAATATGGTGACATGCCAATCAGCTAATCAACTCAAAACACCTGCAAAGGTTTCCTGAGCCTTCAAAATGGTCTCTCAGTTTGGTTCACTAGGCTACACAATCATGGGGAAGACTGCTGATCTGACAGTTGTCCAGAAGACAATCATTGACACCCTTCACAAGGAGGGTAAGCCACAAACATTCATTGCCAAAGAAGCTGGCTGTTCACAGAGTGCTGTATCCAAGCATGTTAACAGAAAGTTGAGTGGAAGGAAAAGTGTGGAAGAAAAAGATGCACAACCAACCGAGAGAACCGCAGCCTTATGAGTATTGTCAAGCTAAATCGATTCAAGAATTTGAGTGAACTTCAAGGAATGGACTCTGAGGCCGGGGTCAAGGCATCAAGAGCCACCAAACACAGACGTGTCAAGGAATTTGGCTACAGTTGTCGTATTCCTCTTGTTAAGCCACTCCTGAACCACAGACAACGTCAGAGGCGTCTTACCTGGGCTAAGGAGAAGAAGAACTGGACTGTTGCCCAGTGGTCCAAAGTCCTCTTTTCAGATGAGAGCAAGTTTTGTATTTCATTTGGAAACCAAGGTCCTAGAGTCTGGAGGAAGGGTGGAGAAGCTCATAGCCCAAGTTGCTTGAAGTCCAGTGTTAAGTTTCCACAGTCTGTGAAGATTTGGGGTGCAATGTCATCTGCTGGTGTTGGTTCATTGTGTTTTTTGAACACCAACGTCACTGCACCCGTTTACCAAGAAATTTTGGAGCACTTCATGCAACCAATTTGGTGGTTTTTGTTAAATGTGAGCCAAAATCATCACAATTAAAAGAACCAAAGACTTAAACTATACTTCAGTCTGTGTACATTGAATTTATTTAATACACGAGTTTCACAATTTGAGTTGAATTACTGAAATAAATGAACTTTTCCACAACATTCTAATTTATTGAGATGCGCCTGTGTGTGTGTATGTATATATATATATATATATCAAGTTCAGTTTATTTATAAAGCACATTTAAAAATGGCCATAGGCCAACCAAAGTGCCTTACAAGTTAGAAAAAAAAGGTAAATAGCAGCACAACAGTTAAAATAGAACACTCATAAACTAAAAGCAACAGAGAATAAATAAGTTTTGAGACATGACTTGAACTCAGACAAAGTGGAAGCCGATCTAATATAGAGTGGGAGCTTGTTCCACAGTGTTGGGCCGGCCACTTCAAAGGCTCGGTTACCCTTTGAAGTGAACCTCGGTTATATATATATAATTTATACAACAGTTCGTTCTGGTTCTCAAATCTGATTGGTTGAGAACCGCTACAGGAACGCCCTTTCACAATTTTGTATCACTCCGCTTGTTCTAGAGTAGTTCTCTACTCTATCGTAGAGTAGTTAATATAAGAAGAAACGTCTAGCTAGCTTCGCGGTCTCTCTCGCTCTCATTTGGATGCACGTCTTGCCGCATTGTTTCTCTTATAACCTCATTATTTCTCACTAATAACTGAAGCAGCACATGCCCTTGATACGAATTCTAAAAGTGACGTATGTTTAACTGTCAACTTGAGCTTTGAATCCGTGGCGGAAGGAAGTAGTTCCGCACAAAAGAGGGTTTTATTAGGCACTCCGTTGTTGCTTGTTTAATTACACACATGTTCCGTCGAACTGTTGTATAAACGCAACAGTTCAACAGTTTGACGGAGTACTCTCGTACTCGAGCGATACCGGCTCTATATCAGCGGCTGTGATTGCCTCCGGCGCGAGGCCGCATAGAGCCGGTATCGCTCGAGTACGAGAGTGATATTGCTCATATATTAATATATTAAGTCTTGTTTTCTGATTGTTTTTCTGAAATGTATCAAAAGTATGCAGGTTTATGCTTAAAAGAGAAAAATACCTGCCAGAAAAATAAGAAAAATGGTCTTGTTTTCCATTTTAATTAAGTTTATTTTTCTTACCCCATTTCCCCATTAAATTAAGTAGGAACTTTGAATGCCATTTTAATGTATAGAAGATCATAATTGCCTGTGTAATTTATAGATTCCCCTCATTCACCTCAGTTACTGAATTATGGGCCTACATGGTTGGGTTTAGAGAAATTAAACATGAACTGTATCTTTAGTAGCAAGGACTGCTCTTTAAAAAGCACAAGCAGGTTTCATTACTCAAGAGGAGTGATTAAAGCTGTGATCATTGGACAGTCATTGAGCTGTACCTGAGGGGGAGGCTGTGGCTCAAAACACTCATGAAAACAAGATAAATAATTAACCGCCAACAATCACTTGTTCTGTTTAATCAAGCTATTAACAGTAAAGCTCAGTGGTGGCTTTTGAAAGAATAAAAATTCAAGATAGTAAACAGCATCTGAATGGTCATTTGTTTTGAGTGTTAATTACGGCTTTCGTTTTATGTTGAATATATTTTTGTAATGTGTATTCATTTTTAAAAGGCACTTTTACGTGTTAAATTGTAATTACAATTCACATAAACAACCTATGTGGATTTTACAGCAAACAACACACGACTAAAAGAGTCATTTGGCAGTATTTTGACACTTAGGCCATGAGGCAGTATGCATAAATCTTCCAAATGATCCAGAAATCAATAAGACACTGATCCTATAAAAATAAAATGTGTTGGAAAAGCATAAATATAAAGTACCGTTCAAAGGCTGAGGTCAGTCAGATTTTTTTTTTGTTTTTGGAAGAACAGTTTTATGAAGAGTATAAAGCTGCAACAATTTGATCAAAAATACAGTTTAAACAGTACTATTGTGATATATTTTATTCACAATGACTGGGCATAGAGGATGCGGAACTCTTCATCATATTTCTCGGTTATCTGGCCAGATAACTCGATAAGGTTGCTGCTGTTTAGTTTGCCGTCTGTCCAGTTAAACCTGTAGATAAAAATGTGCCAAAATAAATAGGAAACGTATAAATAGATCTGGAGTCATAACTATTATGCACCGATTGTCTGACAATTGCAAAGTTAAAATCGATTAATTTAATGAAACAAAATACATAATTTCCATATAATTATTCTACTTTGTCCGAAAGGTTACATATTTTGAAAAAATGTCTTTGTCCATACTTTGAAAGCCAACACAATATTGGACCCCATTGACTTTCGTTGTATAGACAAAAAATACATTTTTCTAAATATCTTCTTTTGTGTTGCACAAAAGTCAAACAGTTTTCACTGTTAAGATCTTGTGGAAAAGGGGTCTTTATTACCTATATGAACCTGTGGCCACTCTGTTTCCATCAATCAGCATGAAACGCTCATGAACCTTTCCAGTGATCTGAGCACCTGATCTCATGTAGTAGGTAGAACCTGTTATGCTTCGTACTTTCATTTGCTTCATAAATAAGACAAAACACATTTTAAAAATGCAATTAAAAAATACTAAATATATATTAAACATAAAAACAACAATAATATTAGCATAAAGAACTCATACCAGCAGTTCATCCAGCAGTACATGAAGGTTTTTACACATCTGTAAGAATGAGGGAACAGAAGACTGGTCTAAAAGAATATACACAGGAACTCTGCGGCGTGTGCAAGCTTCCTGCAGGTCTTGGAAGATATCCAGGTCTGTCAAGGAGTCTGTCACAATGGCAATCACCTAAGGATAAAAATAATTTCTGATTAATGAGAAATTAATAGCAGTCAACATTTCTTTATGCAACTAAGTATTGTTTGGCTAAACATGGTGGGAAATGATAATGAATTAACATCTTAGAGCTTCAGCATCAGTGAACTCAACGTTCTAGCTCATTCGTATGAATGTCATGACTGCACAGCCGCTGGCTACACACCTTCATGATTTCTTATTACATTTGGTTTTTAAGTACATGCAAGCTGGAACAGATCCATGGTGCCTGCAGGTATAACCTCAATACATTCAGCTCAAAACCCCCTTCATTTGAAGGACTGAAGAGCCTGTTGTGGCACCTCCAGGTTCAGACCGTTAGAGGTAACAGTTCAGTGTGATAGACGCTTCTGTGCATTCTTACCATTCCACATTTAAGATCCAGAGTGCTACTTTGAATAAGTCACACACATACCCTTCCATCACCTAAAAAACGCAAAGGCTGAAATTTTTTTATTAATACAACTGAAATGAGAGATTTTTAAATCATCATAATCTCGAATTCATTGTTATTCTTTTCATTGCTGTTGCTTGGTTTTTGATATTATTTTAATCCTGTTAAAAGTTCCAACTGGGAAATCTGAAAACAAGCTAATTTCCCAACTTAATGACAATAAATAAAAAAATAACTAAATGAAGGTTATGACATTTAAATATTACTTCTAAATTATTCTGATCTATTTTTGCTACTTAATTATTAATTAATTCAACAGAGACAGACATCTGTTTCCATTTCATTAGCTATTTATTAGCTACTCGTTTTTAGTAGCTACACTACTGCTTAGTAAATATCTGTTTAAAAAGAACTAGAAAAGGTGGAATATATAACTAGTTACTGGAAACATCTAAAAATAAGTACCAGCAACAGCTGGAATGCATACTAGTTGGAAATGAATAGTTGATATATGAACCACATCTACCAAATCTACACAATTCAATCTGGTAAATTTAACTTCAATTGTTACAATGGAAAAGTTACTAGTCACAGTTGGGATAATGACAGGTAGTAATGTCACTAACTGAAACGAAGTAGTCTCTTTTGGAATAAGTTCTAGTATCTATTGATTGGATTACATACTAGTAATTTAAGAATGAATACCAGTAACAGAAAAATATACTTATTAAATCTGTTCATAGTAATGATTAAATGTTAAAGCTTGTCATTGAGGCACTATTTTTGTAAAGTTGCTTTAGAACAGTGTGCATAGTGAAGTTCATCAAAGGGAAGAACAGATGAATTATTGCTACAGATGAATGAACTAACAGTATGGTGTCCACTTATATATAATTTTTGTAACAATTTTTTTGGGCCTGGGACATAACGTTACCTCTTTTGCATTTTTTATCATCCTCCTGGCTGCTTCTTTGCAACTATAAATGCACTCTCCGTAACTCGGCTGGAAGTAGGCGACGGCACGTGTTACTCCACGGAAAGACCCCGCGGTGAACGCTGGCCAGCCCAGCTCTAAAACTGGAGGCTCAATATCAGAGACTTCGGGGAAATAAGTGACAGATGAGCAGTCCAGTGTGCCAGACTGGTCCAAATGAGAATCGTCTCCGTTCAAAGAGAGTGATTTGCGCACTACAGCCGCGCGGGAGATGCGCCTGATCTCGTCGTCGGAGAGAAAGTTAGGGACCCTCTCTCTCTGCAGGAATCCCGTGAAGGCTTCGACTCCGCCGGCGACCAGCTCCTCCAGAGCGAGGCGGTGTCTCTCATTGTAAAGCTCTTTCAAGTTTAGGTCCTGGCCTGTCCTCGGTGTCCGCCAGCCCGGCGAATCTTCAAGACACTGTGAAAGCGCCATACTTGAAAGTTTATTAATCGCACTAACGTTTCCTGAGGTGAATACTACACTCTAACGCCTGCTGTCTCCTCTCCTGTACGTTCAGAGGTCCCGCCCACCGCCAGACGGCCATTGGTCGGTGCGTTGTCGCCAGTCAAGTTGTTACGTCACGTGTCCGCCAAGTAAGAACGCCATTGGACAATCTGCCCTGCGCCTATTGGCCAAGAGTTTGAATTCGGAGGCAAACAAAGGCGGCGTGTATGATTCTCCTCTGTGTTGTTGAATGTGAAATACTCACGGTGGTGTTGTGAAACTAAATGGCATCATAAAATACAGGTAATGAATGATACACCATATAATCACCAGTATAAAATTAGTTAAAATTATGGCGGTATGTCTAAGAAGCCCTCCTCCAAAACAGCCATTCTTGCTTCAGTTAGTCGTAGATTGTTAGTGCTGCATATATATGATTTATAACAGTATTAATGCTGTTAATACAAATGCACTATACTAATCTTAATCGGTCATTTGTAATAGCAGTGCTAGTAAAAATACTAGCTCCATTCTTTTGTGATCAAATAAACCATTGTATAATGTATATATATAGCTATTTTTATGCACAGACACACACTTTAAAGACATTTTATTAGCATTAACTTAACATTAACTCAACATTTTTTGAAACAATACAGTTTATTGAACACACTTTGAATTTTTTTAAGCCTGTCATCCAGGCCTTTCAGCAAAATTTAAGCATTAAAATAATTGTGAAACAAAATCCTTCATATAATAGCAATAATGTAAAAGATAACATAAACAGCAAACCACTCTAACAAATATCTCAAATTGTCAGCCTTTCAACGATATAGTTCAGTTCACTGACTGTGTCTTGATTAGCCTATTGGGATTATTCAATCGCTATAGCAATATATATATATATATTGACATTATAGTTTGGTGAACAAAATTCATAAAAAATATTCTGCTTTTTTAGAATATTTTAGAACTAGGTGTTTAAAACCAACAAATAAAATCACTGCAAGAGAAACACATTTATGCCATTGGACTTTTGACTAAAAAGCTTATTACTGAAATATAGTCACTGTGACAACTAACCTCAATTTCCTCTGTATAATATTTACAAAGCTAAACTATGTTCATCGTGCATTTACACCATGAAAAATTTGTGCCTAGGCCTTAATGAAGGAAAAGCCCAAACCGCATGGCAACCATCTCGTAATGGACAGTAGGTGTTTTTGGGCTTTATCCAATCAGATTCATCTCTGCCTGTACTGTCAAAAAAAAAAGAAAAAGAAAAAAGCTGCAGGTCTGAAGGTGTAATTGCCACTGTGGCGTGAGGGGGGAGCCCCTGGATAGCAGGTCTTCCACCACGTCCTAAGAAAAGAAAAGTAAAGACTTTGAAACATTATACGTATTTTATGTGTGCACCTACAAGGACTGAGTATCACACAACCTGTTGATAATAGACAGGCCGGTGTTTGTTGCACTCTGGTTGACTGGTTGTTATCAATTCAGAGAGCACAACAGCAGGCACTCTCAGATTTACTTTCACCTTATATGACCCTCTCAAAAAGAAGTAGTAATCACTGTTTCTGAAACTTTGAATGGTTAAAATGGCAGAACTAAGGGCACGTTTGAGCACAGCTGTGCATATTTATCATCATTAATAACATGTATAAATATTTCTGGTGATTATTACCCAAAGATAACAGCAGGAATAAAAACTGGTAATTGTGGCAAAATAGTCTCTACCCATTCTGTTATAATAATAATAATAATGGCTATATATTACTAAATTGATAAAAAATTAAATCTGTATTTAATTGTATGTTGCACAACATCAACATCATTCATTCTATTCTATCCCATTGATAATAGGCCTACCAATAATAATTGTATTATGTTGCATGTTGCATATTGCATATTAATTTCCCCTGGCCATGGTTGTTTAGCACTGGAGATCATATTCTATTCTATTTTTTTTCTCAATATTAGTATGTACAGCATGCTGCGCACCAATTTTCTATTTGGTTGTGTGGCTAATGAGATTCTATTCTGTTCCATTCTGATCATGTGTATTCCGTTGCATGTTGCACATTCATTTCCCCCACACATGGTTGTGTATCAATGGAGTTCCCATTCTATTCTATTCTAATCATATGAATTGCATGTTGCGCAACAATGTCCAGTTTGGTCGCGTGGCTATAGAGATCCTATTGTGTTATGTTCTATTTTATATTATTGTATTTTATTTTACTGTGTTGACAGCTATTTCTATTCCGTGCGGTGGTTTCAAACATGCGTGTGTAGTAGCCTATATGTAGTAGGCTAGGCACATGCTCACGATCAGTTGTCTACTATGGTTGTTTTCCCCCCTCGTCCTTATACGACCTACTGACCGAAAGCGCTGCTCCATATTTCTGGCTATATTAGACATTTGCGCATGAGTCACTCCCTTCAGTGTGTCTGCTCAGCCCGTCCTAGAACAGAGAGGGGTAGGATCAGGATTTTGGGTTTGGGTGACGCGTTTTAATCACGTGCCCTTATTTGAGAGCGCCTGGCGTACATTTCTTTCCCTTCTCGCCACTCCAGCAGCGCCCATGTCAGCCGGGCACATAATCAGTGTGCCATAAAGCAGTAGATGCTCCTTATCGCGGTGACCCGACGGGTTCACGTTAGTTCACAGGGTTCATCTGAGGAGAGGTCTCGGCCCCTCCTGTTCCCCCGAGACCCGGAGCGGAGAGAAACCTAAATGTTATTTATTTCTGTATCAATAACGGATTTCCATTCGCAGTCACCAGAGCCGACGAAAAGGTAGGGAACTTTGACTTTTCAAAGAAGTGAACGCGATTTATTTAGGTGTCGCGAACAGTCTTCAAAAGTAGTTCTAGTAGAGAGAAGCGTGCCTTGTTATTCCACTCTTATGCGGCGAGTGAAGTCGCCTCTATGTATAAAATGGCGACAGTAAATGGGAGTGCTTAGTTAAAAATTTTGGTAATAGCCAAAATATTGCGCCGCGCTCCGCTCCACACTCAAACTCGCGAGAAACGTCTAGCCGGATGGAGGTTACTAGTGCCTCAATACGAAGCGAAAGGGTTAACTTACCAGTTTCTTACAGTTTGTTGCTCAATGTTCTCGTCTGCTTCCAATTTGATTATTCGCACGCTACAACGTGCCTATGTGATGTTACTATAGTATATAGTCTGTCCATTCCGGAGCGTCACGCGCCAGATTTCTACTTCAAACGGGGGTCAAAATGGGACCCGAGTCTCGGATTGATCGCCGGCGAGGAGCACGGAAATATTGGCGCATAATCGATTTCCAAAAGTGATCTTTACGATGACGAACCCGAACCTTTCGGGGGTGCCTATAGTTTAAAGATGGTGCAGATCTAGACAAGCATGCACTATCAACTGTTAATGGGTACAGAATGTACTCAAACTCGAATTTAACTCCAGATCGTAACCCTGGCTCTGATACCACACATTATAAATCATTATTTAGAATCACAGGCTCTCAGGGTGCTTCATCTCAACTCTCTGCCTCAAGCCTCTCTACAGTAAACATCACTTTCTGCTAAAGTAAGCTACTTTTTAAAAGTTAGCAGGCAGAATGTCATGGTAAAATGCGTTAGAAGGTCAGGATGGATGCTTTCTGTAGGTCCTTTAGTATGCAGTGTGTTTCGGGGGAATGTTCTCTTCTGGGAATAGTGTTCTGGTCTGCAGTGTTGTAATAAGGCAAGGCAATATTGCCTTTCATCCTGAATTTGAGCAATCAGGACAGCAAAGCATTCAGAATGTGACTTTCCCAAAGTATGTGTGCCTACAGACTAAAGAAAATGCAATTTGTACATACATGCACAGTTTGCCCTTTATTATTGTGTCAGATTAGAAAAGCATGACGGCACAAAATGAAAGACTAAATGTTAAGTCGCTTGCGTGTGCACTTTATTGTATGTTGATTTCCAGTAAAAGCTGGCCATTTATGTAATATTCCTTGAATTAAGAGAGGAGAATTGTCTGCCTAATGCCAACTGGATTTCTAAGCAGAATTATAATTGCGGAGGCTCTATGTCCTCTATCCGTGCTATAAAAGCAGTCAAAATGATTAAATTATTTATAATGAAAAGCTCACTGTGCATGTAATAACAAAAATGCCCTTCTGTGATATCTCACATTACCTTATTAAATTTGTAAATCTAAAGAGTGGATGAATGTCATGGAGTAACAGACAGAAATGAGCTCCACAATAGGAGTATATCCCCAAAACCTCCCTGAAAAGCCCGTATTAACCTTAAGCTCTTTTCGAGACCAACTTTTGGCTTAACGGCGGAGTGTCGGCCATACAAGTATTTCAGCTGCTCCAGCTCGGTTTTGTATGGAGGAGCCTGGCATTCGCCGAGACCTGGCACTTGACTCAGTACAATTCATGGTGCTCCGCCATCTTTCTTTTTTTGTAACTAATGAGTGTGTCGCACCGGTGATCAAACTCAGCACATTGCATCAATGATTATTTCTCCCTTATTTGCAAAGTACTTTCTTTCTCTTGCAAATTTCTAAATCTTTTCCTTGCTTTTAATGGGAGATTTTTGTGTCGCAAGACTGGCGAAGTAATTCTAAAAACGCAAATAGCGCCTTTTGTAAATTTCTGGGGTGCTCTCTTCATGAAAAAAAAAATCTGCCATGATTACAGAGCGGAAAAAGGGTCGGATCCTCATTTGTTTCCAATTCGTATATTGGCATAAACAAATAGCGCAGTCAAATAAAATATTTGGAGTTTTGTCTCTTTTGCGTTGGAGGGCTGCGAAAAATGTCCCCCAAGTGTGTGTTTTTTGGTGAAGAATAGAGGATTTAGTCCCCTCTGTGTGTTGTGGGCAAGGAAAGGGAAAGGAGAGGGGTTGCTATGGCAATGTTAACACATGAGTGGCAGCGCAGACTGGCCTCCCAAGAGTCCGTGCAGCAGTCACCGAGGTAAGGGGGGCAAAGCGGGCACTTCTGATGGCACCCAGCTTTCTGTAGTACTCGCATAAGGTTCATTGACTGGATTTAAACATAAACACGGGCCGCCCAGGAATAGCTGATGGTACAAACGCCTGTGTTGGTGGCATTTTGCTAATGAG